TGAAATTCGTGCTATTCAACCCTTAATATAGAAGTAATATTTTCTCGTTGATTACTGATTTTAGATTTGATTGTTTTTCATATCTCTGCTGTTATTACTAAGTTAGGTAATTAGGTGATTAAGTGAAGTCTCACTGATATTAATAGATGATACATTTATCCGTAAGATGGCCTAATTGAACGTTCTACTTTCTACAATTTCTGTATGATTTGATATTGTGGTGTAACAGTGGCTTTGAAATAATACAAAGTTATTATAGAATTAAGTATTAAGTAAGGAATCAATTTACCTCGAAGGCAATACTGAGATTACCCTTATAAATCATTATTGATAGATTTTTTTTACAATTAAATAAATCAAACAAATCTATAAATCAATCGTGAATTTTCTTATTGACAATTTACAAAATTTCCACTAGTTTGTTTATAGGAATAATGAGATCCTATCATGAAAATTCTTTCACCTACGGAATGCTTCTCTCACGAGATTTCAATTTATGCGGACGAAATCTCAAAAAAAACAGTTTATTAGAAATAATATAAGAAGGAATTTCAATATTCCATATTCGGTTACTTTTCCTCTGTATATCAAATGACGCTGTGATAACAAATTAAACAAAAGGAATAATCTCGTTCTAATGTTAGTACTAAGTCAATCGTTAGTTTATACATTTGCCAATTAACAACCGTGAAGAAATCAGGTGATTTAGCGAAGTGATTCGTGCGCAATAAATCCGTTTGTATCAGTGTTACCAACCCTACTGTTTTAACAGTAAATTTGCTGTTTTCAATTTGATATTCCTGTTTTCCGTTTAATTCCTATTTTTTACTGTTTTTTAAGTTGCATCACTATGTCACACACAGTATGTAAAATTGCAAATATAATCTAATTGCTACTCATTTGAAGCCAGAGAAAGCACATGCAAATATTCAACAAAAGTATGCTTTTAAAAAGGTAAATGAGTCAGAAAATACGAAAGATCGAGGATGAAAGTAGAAAATAATTTAATTTTTTTTTCTATTTTTTATTTTACTATCAATATTATAATATAATAAATATATGTAGACCGTTGGCCCCAGCTGCATTTGCAGTCTTTAATACCTTCCAATCCGCATTGGGCCAGCGTGGAGGGTCATGGCCCATCCTCCTTAACCATCTATAAGGAAGGCCTGAGCCCCTGCAGTCGGGACGTAAAAAGGCTGGTGATGATGATGATGATGTAAGTTCTGATAACTAATAAAACATTTTAATTATTTGAGTACAATATCAAATATGCCTGTTGTTTCCACTGTCTTTTTTTTATCGGTGATCTCTCGTTTTCTAGTTTCTTGAGGTTGGCAACACTGGTTTGTACGTAGGCATCGCAAACAGAGGGCGCGCGCGCACGGCCCATTAGCCGCGAACAAGCAACAATAGTTAGCACCCCCGCATTAGACGGGCTCGATTTACGCCGGGAGTGCGCTACCCAAACATTACCGGGATAAAAGCGGCTATAAACATTCCAAATTCCTTTTCTCGTATTATTTTTTTCATTACATTACAAGCGCAATACATATCACACAATAAAGTGACGCCTTTTTGACAAGAAAGTGATATACGAATACGAATGAGTTGGGAAAGCTCATTTTTTCAACTCTTTATTAGTTAATTAATTTATTGATTCAACGAAATTTCAACATCTGTTTTGTTATTTTAATACAAAAAATAATTATACAGCATTGACGTCAATTATAGAAACATATTATGTTTACATTTTTTATTAATTATATTAATCATAATAAGGTTAGGGTAACAAAGAAAATGTAAGTAGGTACATATCAGAAGAAAAAAAAATAAAAACTCTCATATATAAGTCTCTGAGGGTTGATGACCTTCATAGCCGAGTGATACGCACGACGGTTCTAACATTTCGCCATCTCTGAGCCCCGGTTCGATTCCCGGTCAGGTCAATGTAGAAAAAGCACTTTTTTATATTGTCTTGGATCTGTGTGTTGTGTTACCTTCGTTATCTAAGATACTCCATAATACGGGGGCTTTAGCTATACTCATCTTGGAATCTGAGCAATTCATCTACTTTCTCAAGTATACTAGTCAAAGGTTAGGTGACCAAAAAACTATTATATCGTGCTACTAATTGCTTCTAAAACTGCATTTGCAGTGTTACCGAATGTAGACGCATCCAGGAGCTTATGTTAGTTGTATTTCATGTTAAATGAAAACCTTTACTTTTAAGACCATTCTCTGCCCGCTTCTGATGAACTCATTAGGTAAACTATATGTATGATAATTACTAATCTTTTTATACAAAACTCTTAGTAACTGTGTAGCGTAAACTCACCAGTAACTGAACAATTATCTTTCACCAGTGTATAAGCCGTTTATGCATGTTTACTTTAATTATTAACACAAATAAAATGCTTATAAAATAATGTATTAAAGTTATGTCAATGATATTTATGACATATATATATATTAGTTATTTCCAATAAAATATAGGGCTGTACATTTATAAAACTATGATTAGTTTATGACTCGGTTTTATTTACCCTCAGTAACTCCTAGGACGCAAGAGTAGCGGCTTGTTCAACCAGTCCATAGTAAAATAACATGAGATCTATTTAGCGATTTTACCATTTTACTACCGCTTTACATTTTTTATGCAGGTATATTCCTTTACCTAGGACAATAGTTGAAAAGAGTGTGTTTAATAAACAAAATAATAAAACAGAAAATAATATACAAACGACAAAGGAATAAAAAAACATTTAAAAACTCATTACATTGTTTTAACCTTCACTATAGCACTTCGGCGCTAACAACTCTCCAGTGTAGGATTACAAGGATTCCTAAAATATTTCGTTCTTGTTACAACATCGAACTCTTAAATAGATCAAACTCTTCTAATACGCGTATTTAATATTTTAATATTAAAGAAGTGACCGACTAAATAATTTGCATGCCTCTACATAGGTTATTACGTGAGACTTATTATTTACCATATTTATGCAAATAAATGAGTCTGAATCTATTACTTACAATCATTATCGTTCTTTTTCATATCTTAACCCTTAAGCAAATCTCTTAGTGTATCATTATGCAAAATTATCATATACATACTTGTTAAGGTACTTTTCATAATCGTTTCTACTCTATTCCACTAAGTAGCCAGCAAGAACAAAATGTCTATGCTAACTTATGCAAAAAAAACACGATGGCGTAATAGTTAAAGCGTTGGATCTGTGATGCGAAAATTTTATTATCTCAAGCACAACCTTGCTTCGGAACACACGTGGTAACGGTGGGAACATACTATTGATGATTTGTAAATATACGCCAACTTTTTTCTGAACAACTTTATATCATACAAAAGAGGGAGGATAAAGCAGACCTCGGTGAGCTCTTTGCCAGTTCCTCTCAGTAGAAAGTTCTTCTCACCGTAGTAATTTTGTGAACCGTAGCATATCAACTTTAACGAATGCTTCTTTTTGAAAAAATTGATAAAACGTTATTAAAAATTATCACACTGGCACAAATTTGTTTCAGTGCTTTTTAAGTCCTAGGATCGTGTCTAATTTATAAAAGTAACACGTCGTCAGCCATGCCTGGAGGTAGTTTCGTGCTGCGCAAGTTGCATCTTTACTGAACCGTGTTTCTCGCGAGCTCTGTCCTGAGGCGTCTCTAAACTTTAATGTGATTGATATTCTAACATTACTTTAACTCTAATGTGATTGATTCATCGACTAACATTACTGATGAATTTAGAGAATTTAATAAAAAAATAATATGTGGCCCATTAGTTCACTACTGAAAACTAAGTGCAAGGTAAATTCTATTAAATGAGTTGACGGATTACATCTAAATAAATTTATAACTAATACGTGATAATCGGATTGCGGAACTATTAATGCTAAGAAATAAAACGGATATTGTCATATCCATTACAATAGGGATGACGACTATTTTTTATTTGTTTGTCCGTCAGGTAGATTGTTGATAAATATAAAAACGTATTTTTTCGTAATCATTAAATTACAGCGATACATTGAGTTGAAATGTCACATGCGGTCTTTTATACATTTTCTACAAAACTGTGACGTAACGAGCCCCCACTGCTCAATTTTAATGCCTGATATCTAAGCTATTTCTTGTAAAATTGAAGTGAAAATAATATTATTTTCCCGTTATTTGCCTGACGGACTAAATAGTTTTTTTTTTTTTTACCCAGTCGTCATCCCTATTATCGTGTACTAATTACAAGAATTATGATTTCAGAGTATAGATTCAGTTTTCAAGTCAAATATGAAGAGCAACTTTGGTTTGATAATTAGATCGCATACAGTTTAGGGACTGCAGATGCAGTCAAGTACTTTACGTGCCTTCCTAAACATAGAATAGCTCAAGATAAATCATTTTTGTACACCTATCCTATGACGTTCCCTTGCGAAAGTTGCTTAACTTAACAGACCGATCGCTGAGCTGTTTTTGTAATACTCATAATGAAAATTCTTTATAAAATAAACTGGAAACAAATGATATTTGATAAAGTTAATTGATGCATTTATAAAATAATGCTTTATACACGTGATTGCACATTATAACGTTACTATTATAAGTATCAGCTAATGATATACATTTTAATAAATATTCATCTCCAATCAACTGAATCTTTCTCTCCCACACTATCGATAAGTACCCTACTTCTTTAATCATTGCAATTTCGAAACAAGCTCAAGTGTTGTCGGTGTCGAATAAATTTTGTATAATGTAAACGTGATAACAATTTAAATTCCTCTGTAACGGGTCCGGAGCCGACAAAAACAACAAACAAACACAGCCGCACGCCATTGGGCCAGGCATGGGGGGCGGCGCCGGCCCCGCCCGTCAGCTAGTACTCTCGCTCGCTCCCCAGTACTTATCTGCCGTGCCGATGCGAGGACGTGTGCTCACTGTTGCCAAAACTAGCTGATACACTTGTGACCACAACACGGTTCTTTGCAAAGATGCCTCGACCCACGCGCGAATCTTACGGTGACCAGAAACCACCGTTCTCATACATCGCCCTCACAGCTATGGCTATTTGGAGCTCCCCGGAACGGATGCTGCCGTTATCAGAGATATACCGATTCATCACGGACAGATTCCCTTACTACAGGCGTAATACGCAGCGCTGGCAGAACTCTCTTAGGCATAATTTGTCGTTCAATGACTGCTTCGTGAAGGTGCCGCGGCGGCCTGACCGACCAGGCAAGGGCGCATACTGGACGTTACATCCGCAAGCATTCGATATGTTTGAAAATGGTTCGCTACTACGCCGCCGCAAGCGCTTCAAGCTGCACAAGGGAGAAAAGGATAGTTTGAACGCTGAGCTGGCTGCTTTAGCAAGTTTCAATAGGGCATTCTTGGCTCGGCAGGCCAGTGGACCACCTCAAGCAAGTTTACAGAACGGCAGTTTATATTCGCCTGTTGCTTTATGCTCTAGACCAAGTCCGGAGCCGTTAGAAGCACCGGATACAACAGCTTTATTGCCTGCTGGACCGAGACCTCGCAGGGCATTTACGATAGACGCTCTGTTAGAGCCAGAGCCGCGGCGGTCGCCATCACCACCGCCGCAGCCACACTGTCCGATGCCTTTACCGCCACCATACCTTCTAGCAGCCCAGCGGTACCATGCGGAGCTGTTAGCTGGCCTGCAGCAATCCTGTCTACCTCCGTTATGGACGTGGAGGGATACCAGTCAATTTTCACACTATACGCTTAATTCATGAATGGTGAGTCTTTAACATTTAGGTTTCATATTCATATTAATTCTTTTTTATACGACTGTGAAGAAGTGAAAAGGAGGGTTATGATTTTGGCCGGTATCTATGTAAGATGTTCATCTATTCCCTTATAACTTCGAAACAACTCATCGTAACTAGACAAATGAGGTATCATTAGAAGCGTCTTGTCCATTGTTGTATGTATTTATATGTGACGTTACATTAATTGAGCATTAGCAATAGCGATAGTTATATGACCAAAGGACAGCGTTTTATTTCTATGTATATGTATATATGTTTAAGGAAAACCTACATAGATAAATACTGACTTTCGTGATGGTAGATTCTCCAGAACAGTACTTAATTTGATTTTTTATTCGACGACATCAATGACGTAGCACAGATTTTGCACACAGCGCTTGTGTTATGGAAATCTAAAAACGAAGGTGCCACAACATTAATCTCCGAGTCAATATAGAAATGTTCATATAAGAAAGACTTAACTGGAAATTGAACTCAGGACCTCAATAACAACTTGAAATCGATGTTCGAGCCACTTTGAACACAATAAAAATTCCGTTCTTTTCACAAAACATTTTTTTTTTCCAAACCTAAAATAAATATCTATAAAATACTAGCTATCGTTGACAAACTTTGTTTTGCTTAGGGGTCTAAAAATAGATAACAACCTATTCTTATACCTACTCGGTCAAGCTATTTTGAATGGGTATAGCATGTAACTGAACTGTGACACAATAATTTTAAATATTACATTAATTAGGTATCTTATTAAATATAATGGGACAGTGCTACTGAAGTTCTAAATAAAAAAATTAAAAAATACGATTTTTCATTCCGTTATACAGTAGCCGTTACTTTATTTTCTATTAGCCTCTTATTGTATAAAGATATTACCAGCGCAGTTTTAATTAAAAAAGTTCTAAACTAATCTTAACTATTTTAGTAAGGATATCGGATTTCCAGATATTTGGAAATCCGAGAACTTAGGCAACTTGTTACATTATTTTATTTAATTTAAAAAAATATTTGTATTTCGTTTTTTCAGAACCACATTATAACAAGACATAAACCGTTCTCAGTATAAAAATCATTGCATTTAATTATGTGTATTATGATTAGAAACTAATAAAAACCATCTGAGTTCATCATATTAAATAAAAAATATGATGATAATATAAATATAAATCAAACGTTACACGGAAAAAAATAACTAATAAATGTTGATATTCCTTGACTAACTTTTTTAAGAGAAAAAGTTTTTTTCATTTGCCTCCATAGGCTTCGAAAGTACTGGACGGATTTTAAAAACTATTATAGGAAGCTACATCATGCAAGAGTGACACAGATAGCAGATTTAATAAATATAATAAATTCGTTTTATCGATGTTCCCAATATATTCTCGGACCATATATATACATTTTCAAAATCTAATTTCTACTAAGACCTAAACTAAATTAGTTTTACTTTTACTAGTCTCCAACTACTTGTATGTCAGAAAATGTGTAAGTAATAACGTTAATAAAGAAACAAAAAGCCAGAAATACATACTTCCCCCTAATCCCTCTTATAGTTGAGCTATTAAATAGTTCAGCCAACTATGAAAAAGGAACTATCACCTTATCTTACTTTCCATAGACCGAAACTATTATATAAAATTCACATCGAGCTTTCTTACGCTCTAGGGATCACCCTAATGTTTTTATGAATCTTAATGCATCTTCAAGAGGATACAACGAAAGCAATGGAACTTTATATAAACTCAACTTAATCTATAATTTTAAAATTGAAATTATGTAATTATCTATATTTGTTTTACTAGGAAAATGCATCTAAAGTTTCAAAATATATTTGAAATTCTTATTTTATTTTTATTACGATCTTCGTATCTTATTTCGATCTTTTAGTCACTAAGTATACTATAATTCCTATTCAAAGAGTATAATAAATCTTAAAGTTGTCCTCAAAAAAAATTTTTTTGAGGCCCCAATTAAACCCCCAATTAGAGGTCGATAGAAAGAAAGTGTTTTTATATGTAATATTTTAGCTAATCGCCTACGCAACTTTTTGCTTTTTGCTGTTTTTAATTATCGACACGTTGATGTTTGTTATATGGATCTGTCGGAGGAAATTTAGAATAAATTTTATCATACAATTAATTTTCAATCTTCGCAAATTTGAGCATCAAAATTCTACTGGCTCTACATTCACCGGTGCTATTCTATTCTAAGTTTCTCTATTCTATAGCTTTTCCTGCCTTTCTCTCCGCCGTAACCTATACAATTACCTATACAATTCACAGTCAGGAAAATGACAAAAAAGTAAGCTATTTATTTTAAATTTGAAAATATACCTAAATAAATTACACTATATACACAAGCTGACATAATGTTTTTATCATTTTTCTTTTTTTCTTGAGAGCAATGTCGTATTAGCCATAAATTTACGTATAATAGACAAAGATTTACGGTATTATGTACCTTTTTTAAGAGTATTCAATTCTACTATCTAACAACTGGAAGTTGACAATCCGCCATTGACTTTTTTGTATTGATGTTAAGATTATTTTTATAAAGAGGTAATTACTTACTACGGGATGTTGGCAAAATTTCCGCGTATAACGGAACAAGTCCATATTAAAGAAAAAAAAAATTTAATTTGTTTGCATCCAAATCAGTATGATTAAATACTCAAATATAAATGACACTTGTTATCCGATGCATGTTAAAGGTAAGTAATAGACGTTAAAGAGGTATAAAGCGCTGAGACAGTGCAATATGAAAGAAGTTATAGCTTTACAATATATCAATCAACTGAATTTATGTTAATCATGTATTAATTATCCGGTAGGAACGGATGATAATCGTATCGATTAAGCTTTTAGTACGATATAGGTACCAGAAGAGCTACACAGTTCCCACACTTTTTAGAAGGAAGTAGTTATTAATAAGGTATTTACTGTTAATAAGCATCCGCGGTCAATTTAATTCTATTTACCAAAGTTTTGCGATGAAATTTATTGATGAGGATTGAAAATCGAATAAAAAATATACTCAGGTACAACCTATTATTACTTACGTAATTGTTTCGAAATAAATAGATTGTGTTTTTATGACCTTTTATTAAAAACCTTAATTGACCGATCTAATAAGCAAATGACACTAGCCTTGTTGGCGGCAGTATCTAACTCGAGACTTGAAGGCGACATACTTTGAATGTAAATAAGTCCAAATCTGTTTTTAACTGAATAGTTTCATTATAAAGACGACACATTTTTTCAATTACCTATATTTACTCACTCACTTGTCGTTAGATAGTTTTAAAGCTAATCTATACTCATATAATAATGAGTTACTCTTTCGATTTTTTTAAAGATAAGTATTTTATTGTACCCATCATGAAAATTATTTCATCGATAATAAACTACACTATATATGTCGGGAAAACATCTAGCAGTATATAATAATATATATCATAGTATATAACTTATAAATATCACGAGCACTTCAGGTCACTTTATAGCCACGAAATCACACGAGTGAATTTATAATAATTGTAATTGTCACCTAGTACCTAATTAATTTTAACGATTCTTATCTCATTGTCTGCCATGATACGAGATAGGATTAGGAAATATGATTATTTAACAATGTTAAGCCTACCTTTTACCTTGATATTGGTATTAGCACCAGTATTGGTATTAGACGGTACAAACAAATTTCCACTGTCTCTAAATTTCATTTAAGAGTGAAACCGCTCTACGCTTAAACGCACGCTCTACGCTTATACAAATTAAATATATACTATCTAAAGTATAACTGAAAACTGCAAAACTGAATACATTGCTGCTCGCGTTTTACTATTCAATTGATATAACAGAACACGACGTCTTTGTGTGTTCTGTGAATTGATATGATATTTAAAATGACCTCGTCGATTCCATCCACTAGTTTTACAAGAATGACAAGCATATAGGCGCGAAACTGATCAAACGTCAAAGTCAAAATGACAGTGACAGCTAACTGACAGACAGAGTAGCCCATAGTGAAATCGACCATCAGTACTGCCAGTAATGGTTGGTGGCCAGTTAATGTTTTCCCGTCTAACAACACCTAGAAAGGTAATTGTGATTAGCAGCATCGCTTCAGTCTTACCTTTAATCGTAGTGCAGTTGAGTCTAAGTCAAAGCATGTCCTAGCTTATAGCCTGACGTCACCATCTCTGAGGAACCTTAGGCCTAATTGTCTAATTTTAAATTCTATCGCAATTCCTTTAAATTTGACATTTGAAGGGTATTTACGAGCGATGTCGTTCACTGTCGACGATAACTGGAATTGTGTAATTGAAGCTAAACGCAAATAATATTTTAATTTTAAGTCACCGATTTTTTTTTTGTGTCTTGATTATCCTTATCATCATTCGTACCGAAAGTGATTGCGACTTTAAACATTACATAATTCCATAAATCGCTTTTTTCGAGGTATTGAAATTACACAATTATACCACTGGTTCAATCTAACGTAGAAAACACTCACTATTTCAGTCTAAACAATTGTAATTACTTCATTATTTCAGATTTCCAATTCAGAATTTAATTTTATATAAGTACAGTGCTCTGTATAGATGTAATACATTATATCATCTAGACTTAACCAGCAGTACTATTCTGTGATAAACGTATAGCTATCACAGCTAGAGATTCAATCAAATAAAAACTATTTCGAAGATTGATACAGGTTTTATATTTTATTTAATTGAAGCTCTAACAATGCTGAGCTCGACGATGAGTTAACAGAATAGCATAACTGTGCCCTTAAAATGGTATTCGAACATAGTTTAAAACAAAGTCACATATAAACCTGTATGATCTCTTCATATTACACAACAGGTTTTAATGATTATCAAAACTAATTAATATACAGAGTGATTCAAGAGGAAGGTTTATATGTGTAATACAGGGCGAAGCCACTGGCGGAAATCTCGTTGG